TAGAGGTCACACTCCCTTCCAATATGTCCACCAACAACAGGGATCAACACAAAAAACAAGCAATAGTGAGAAAAAACACAACTAAAAAAATTGTTTGTCACTAGAATAATGCCTCAACAATTCCAAGAAGCTTCAATAATCGGAGCAAAATAGTGNCTTTCCAATATGTCCACCAACAACAGGGATCAACACAAAAAACAAGCAATAGTGAGAAAAAACACAACTAAAAAAATTGTTTGTAACTAGAATAATGCCTCAACAATTCCAAGAAGCTTCAATAATCGGAGCAAAATAGTGGCAGCCGGAGTAGAAAAGGGCCAACAATGGCTAAAGCAACCCGTCGGCAGAGAGAGAAAGGCAAAACACTTCACAAAACCTCAAAAAACTGATACAATGTGCAACAAAGGCCACTGGGCATCAGATTTCTATCCTAGTCTAGGCTCATAAGATAGATTTGAAGCATAAACAAGCCTCAAATTACTTAGAGAAGCCAGATCTGAGGTCATTACTGTAGTCGAGACTCCAAAACCCTAGAAATCATCTCGAATTGCAACAATGTTCACTCAAACTGCATGGGTGATGTAGATCCACCCTATTCGCACCATACATAGTAAGATCAAAGTAGAAAACCAGGGGAAATCTCCTAGAAATTGCAGACTTGGAGTTTGAACTCAAAAGAGCCACAAATTTTCAAAAAATTTGAAAGCTCCTTCAGATGATTTCAAAAAATTTGAAGAAAATCACCATAAAACTTAGTACATTAAGTCGATCAATTCACGAAAAATTCCGAAATTTTTGACATGTTCATTCTAACTTTAGTAGTTGGAAAAATGGCATCAACACCTTTTTTCAGTGATAATTTCCTTAGATTTTTAACCACTTTATGACTTTAAATTTGGATAATTGCTTAGATACCAAGTTAGATTGTAGAGTAATTAGTGTTAGGAAGAGAAGAGGAGATTAAGAAGAAGAAGAAAAAAGATTAAGGGAAGAGTGTAGTGTGTTAGAAGTACACAAAAATAACCCAATATATCTATAACCACAAATTACTAAAAATACCATTAAGCTAGAAATAAACAACGTAATATTTTATTTTCCATTGTTTTTTTTGGTTTGTGTCTGGTACCTTTTATGTCCACAATTTTTGTCCAAATATTTTCATGGAGAAATTTGCTTTTTAACTTCTCCAGTTTCTATTGAAATTTTTTATGGCGAATGAAAAGGAATGGGATGAAGATTCAAATTGAAGATTTTTTGATAGGAAACAATACTTTTTTTAATAATAGAAAATAAAGTAAAGCACACATCCAATCAAAGGGTGGACAAGTGGTCCGTCTCAATAACACGCAAAGTCAAAACATAAATCGTAAACTAAACAGTGGTAAAATTTAGACCATCTTCTAAGAAAGTCATATTATCTTCCACATGTGGTCAACCAACTTGATGTGATACAAAAAGAGGAACATTTTCAAATTCCTTTGTCACCGAGGCCCAAAATGAAGCTAAGAAATATATCCTGCCTCACATCCCTTCCACCACTTCCTCTCTACCTTCAAAGGTTCTCACATTTTTTTCTAGCCAAATAACCCAAACAGTTGCAAAAATCGCACATTGCCAAAGAATAATACTCTTTCCATTTCCACCTAAACCATTAAAATTCACACAAAACATCGATGAAACATATTGTGGGGCTACCCAACACTGCCAACCATCTCAAACAACTTGTTCCATGGATACAACGCCGTAGAACAATGTAAAAACAAATGAGCCACACTTTCGTAGCTTGCTGCGTGCATGGATTTGTATAAGGCCTTTTCCTTTGGAGAATATTATAGGTATTAATCTTTCCATGTACAAACTTGCACTTTCAGAGGCATCTTAATCGTACTTGTCAAATCGCGATTTGTATCATGAATCGGAATTCTAAATTTGAGAATCGTGAATTATAAGATTTGACACAAAATTTGAACAAAAATAAANCAGAGAAGCCAGATCTGAGGTCATTACTGTAGTCGAGACTCCAAAACCCTAGAAATCATCTCGAATTGCAACAATGTTCACTCAAACTGCATGGGTGATGTAGATCCACCCTATTCGCACCATACATAGTAAGATCAAAGTAGAAAACCAGGGGAAATCTCCTAGAAATTGCAGACTTGGAGTTTGAACTCAAAAGAGCCACAAATTTTCAAAAAATTTGAAAGCTCCTTCAGATGATTTCAAAAAATTTGAAGAAAATCACCATAAAACTTAGTACATTAAGTCGATCAATTCACGAAAAATTCCGAAATTTTTGACATGTTCATTCTAACTTTAGTAGTTGGAAAAATGGCATCAACACCNGCACATTAAGTTGATCAATTCACGAAAAATTCTGAAATTTTTGACATGTTCATTCTAACTTTAGTAGTTGGAAAAATGGCATCAACACCTTTTTTCAGTGATAATTTCCTTAGATTTTTAACCACTTTATGACTTTAAATTTGGATAATTGCTTAGATACCAAGTTAGATTGTAGAGTAATTAGTGTTAGGAAGAGAANCCTTTTTTCAGTGATAATTTCCTTAGATTTTTAACCACTTTATGACTTTAAATTTGGATAATTGCTTAGATACCAAGTTAGATTGTAGAGTAATTAGTGTTAGGAAGAGAAGAGGAGATTAAGAAGAAGAAGAAAAAAGATTAAGGGAAGAGTGTAGTGTGTTAGAAGTACACAAAAATAACCCAATATATCTATAACCACAAATTACTAAAAATACCATTAAGCTAGAAATAAACAACGTAATATTTTATTTTCCATTGTTTTTTTTGGTTTGTGTCTGGTACCTTTTATGTCCACAATTTTTGTCCAAATATTTTCATGGAGAAATTTGCTTTTTAACTTCTCCAGTTTCTANTGTCTGGTACCTTTTATGTCCACAATTTTTGTCCAAATATTTTCATGGAGAAATTTGCTTTTTAACTTCTCCAGTTTCTACTGAAATTTTTTATGGCGAATGAAAAGGAATGGGATGAAGATTCAAATTGAAGATTTTTTGATTGGAAACAATACTTTTTTTAATAATAGAAAATAAAGTAAAGCACACATCCAATCAAAGGGTGGACAAGTGGTCCGTCTCAATAACACGCAAAGTCAAAACATAAATCGTAAACTAAACAGTGGTAAAATTTAGACCATCTTCTAAGAAAGTCATATTATCTTCCACATGTGGTCAACCAACTTGATGTGATACAAAAAGAGGAACATTTTCAAATTCCTTTGTCACCGAGGCCCAAAATGAAGCTAAGAAATATATCCTGCCTCACATCCCTTCCACCACTTCCTCTCTACCTTCAAAGGTTCTCACATTTTTTTCTAGCCAAATAACCCAAACANCCTTCCACCACTTCCTCTCTACCTTCAAAGGTTCTCACATTTTTTTCTAGCCAAATAACCCAAACAATTGCAAAAATCGCACATAGCCAAAGAATAATACTCTTTCCATTTCCACCTAAACCATTAAAATTCACACAAAACATCGACGAAACATATTGTGGGGCTACCCAACACTGCCAACCATCTCAAACAACTTGTTCCATGGATACAACGCCGTAGAACAATGTAAAAACAAATGAGCCACACTTTCGTAGCTTGCTGCGTGCATGGATTTGTATAAGGCCTTTTCCTTTGGAGAATATTATAGGTATTAATCTTCCCATGTACAAACTTGTACTTTCAGAGGCATCTTAATCGTACTTGTCAAATCGCGATTTGTATCATGAATCGGAATTTTAAATTTGAGAATCGTGAATTATAAGATTTGACACAAAATTTGAACAAAAATAAAAAATAATACTACATATTTAAAATAGACAAAATATTAAATATTAAACATTATTGTATTCAAAAAATAATTAATTGATATAATCACATCGTTTAAATGGAAAGACGCTAGCCGTTTGCTTAATTTTCATCTTTTGGTTAACCATTTTTAAATTTAACAACTTGAAAAAAAAATTCATTAAAGAATCATGGTTATTCAAGAACTAAAATAGTGACACCCAGTATAGATTAGGTTATAAACATAAATGAAAAAATAACAAATAAGAAAATTGATTGGGAGAAAATATACAGGACAACATTTTAAAACAAAAAATTAGAACCTAACAAACTACCTACGAAAGAATTAAGAGCAAAAATCAACTGATTTTGTTAGAGGGTTAGCCATGACCTTTAGCTTTAGACAATATAAGGCGAGCTTTAGACGACGTCAGAGAGAACGAGTAAAGAGATTGAGTTGTTATTAGGGTGTTGGTTCTTCTGCAAACAAAACGATATCATTTTATTGTTTAGTGGACAAAACGACATTGTTTTGCCAAAAATTTGGGTTTTAAAAAAGAGTGATTAAATTATGTGATGCGAATCGAATCATACGATTCAGGTGCGACTTCACTTTAAAATGATTCTCATATAAGATACGAATTGTTTTGTATCTGTGTCAAACTGAATCATACGAATGGAATTGCGAATCGTACGATTTTGATAACTATGGTCTTGAGAAGTCTTGAATTAGGGATGATGACTCCTAATAGAGATATATTTTAATAGATATATATATATATATATATATATATATATATATATATAAATCTAAATCTAATGGGTTTAGTAGGACAGGGATGAGTTTCAGTCTATCCCTGTATGGGTTTATTTGGGTATCCCCATATACATCTACCGTTCAATACGTGTGGTCCATCCCCAGTCCAAACGGGACAGGTTTAGACTAATCCTTGTTTTACTCCGGTCCACTGTCATCCCTAGTCTTCACTTCAACACGAACACTGTATCCTCCCTTTCTATATGTTTTGTAAGAAAAACTACCCTGCCATTCCACTTGAATGCAATTGCTTTTATTTGTAGATCTTGTCAATCTAATTACTTTTCTAGAGAATGCAACTGCTTTTATTACCTGTAATTTGTTAGTTAAATTTCCTCTTGCTTTGTACTCATAGTAATTATTCCTTGATATGGTCGTTAAAGAAGAATGCTCCTGTAGAGTGGAGAGAAATAATTCTCTGATTTTCTTTTATCAGTTTGGTAGAGTCACTGCCTACAAGTGATTGAGTACGGTAGATCCGCTTGAACAACTAAGTGGATTATATATCTTGAAAAGCCAAATATTTTCCTACCTTCTGAAAATTGCCTTGGCTCATTGAGATCATATGATGTTCACTCTTTTGGCTGAGATATCCGTGCCAAGGGTCAGATTTGGATTAAAGCACACTTCAATTGATTGTGATACTTATTTGATGCTGCTATAAAAGCAAATTTTCATTTATGCCTTAAAAAGTAAGACAAGTTTTTTGATTNCACTTCAATTGATTGTGATACTTATTTGATGCTGCTATAAAAGCAAATTTTCATTTATGCCTTAAAAAGTAAGACAAGTTTTTTGATTCAACGGTTTAACCTAGATATGGAAATCATGAGATCTAATTTTTTGCTTTTGTGTGCATTGATTTCTGAACTTGCAGGAAGGTATCACATTAACCATTGAATCATTCTCTCATTTAGCCAAAGATTCATCTTTTGCGAGAAACATGGACTTTGATGAACAATCAAAAGTGGATAAGCTCCTAGGCAGCGGGAAAGGTTGGTCCCTTTTTTTTATCTTTGTCTATGGAATGGTAGAACTCTTATGTTGTACGATTGTTAAGTGTGCATTTCAGCAATTGAACTTATGACTATGTCTTGGCACTTGAAATTGTGAAGATTATTCTTGAGTGCAAGCTCCAACCATATGTTTGGCTTGATAGAGTTGAAAACGTCAAACTGTTTGAGTCTGTTGTGGCTTGACAGTGAACTATTGTATTTGGCCTGCACTTGATAATAAATTGCAAAGGTGGATGGTCTGGGCTTAGTAAAACTAAATATGTACATGCAAAAGCATAATGAGCAGGATCTACATAATCATACCTATACAAATCCATGGCTGGAGAGCTATTCTTAAGCTTAAACCTAACTACTTCCTCCCAAACAGCTACGTTTGAATTTGTCAAATGCCACCAGCTCTCGTGCATTTTCAAGTGTCATAACATGTTATCACAGGAAGGCTTTTATAAATTTTCCTTCCTTCTTAAACAAGGATAGATGTGGGGTGTTGTCGTTTGACTTTGTTACTGACAGCCACATGGTTGAGGGTACTTCAGCTTAAGACCCAAGTGGTAAGCATCGTGTCCATCAATAAAGCCTATTTAGTTCAGGTAAAATAGGCCACCAACAGTGCATTGCTGTTGCAACTTTTTGGGAATAATTGTTTGAACAGCATAACATGTTTCCATTCAGTTTCTTTTTCTTTCACATTTTTTAGGTTAAGGTAAGATAAATTGTGCAATTTGACTAGGCTTGGAATGGGAAAATGTTCCCTTTTAGTCTGTTTTCCTGAAGATTGAAATTTATATTATGTTGCTGCAGTTGCAGAGATTTTACTGTGGAGAGATGAAAAGAAATCATTTACTTATTTTTTCACCCTGGTTCTGCTGTATTACTGGTTTTTCCTTTGTGGAAGGACTTTTATCTCATCCGCTGCGAAGCTTCTACTGCTAATTGCGGTTATCCTTTATGGATATCACATTCTGCCATTGAATATGTAAGTATGGTCGATGAAAGGTTGATGCTGTTATAGTTCTGTGACCAGTTTTGTGACATAATTATGTCTCCACTCCAAGCACTTTAATATGATTTTGTGCTGGCACTGTGCTGGTTTGGTCCCTGTTGCATATGGCCAAATCCTTTTTGCTCAATGCTTGTGCTATTCAATGCCTTGGTTTTTTGTTTTATTTCTTATTATTGTTGTGCTATTGTCATAGGTATTGTTATTGTTATTATTATTATTATTNCTTGTGCTATTCAATGCCTTGGTTTTTTGTTTTATTTCTTATTATTGTTGTGCTATTGTCATAGGTATTGTTATTGTTATTATTATTATTATTATTTCGGGTGTTTTTATCTTTCTCCTTTTTTGTGTGCATATTGAAATTTTTTACATGTTATGTCTTGTCACATTTCTCGGGAAAGTTTTTTATGTGTGTGTGTCTTTATTAGACACTGGTTATGTACTATATCACGTTAGCAAGTTAAAAGACTTACTATATGGAATAGCCAATACGGTCCAATTTGAATTTTCTAAAACGCATGCAAGCTGAACGTTGTTTGATTGATTTGGTGTTAGATGCTTCCAGCTTAATTTTTGCAGTCCTCGTGTATTCTTGCTTAGTAGTTGAGTCCTATTATCTGCAAAATTATTTCAGGTTTATTGACTGTGATGTATTTGCGACAGATTCAGTTTTACAATTCCAAGGATATCTTTATCTTCTTTTGAGATATCGGAAGTGGAT